CTGGGTTGAGGGAGCCTCAATTGGGGAATTGCCTCCATTGGACTGGCCTGTGGCCATATCTGTGGGGTATTTTCTTGATTGTTGAGTGATATGGGAGGGCCCAGCCCACTGTGGGTGGTGCCACCCCTGGGCAGGTGGGCCTGTGTTGGATAAGAGAGCAAGCTGAGCAGGGGGCAGGGGAGCAAGCCAGTAAGCAGCGTTCCTCCATGGCCTGTGCTCGGGTTCCTGCCCTGAGTTCCTATGTTGGGCTCCCGGATGAACGGCAACCTGAGATGTAAGTCAAATAAACCCTTCCCTCCCCAAGTTTGTAGTGGTCAGAGTATTTTGTCACAGCAATGAAAAAACAAACAGGGAGGGAGGGAGGGAGATATCAATTGATGAATATGGGCAAGCACATGTCACAGGATGCAACTGTGGAAGACAGATGACAGTTTTCAAGAGCAAGAGCTGGTCCTCTCTTTCCACCATGGATTTTGGGATTCAAACTCAGATCATCAGGCTTACACAGCAAGTGCTTTTACCTACTGAGTCATCTAGCTGGTCCCCAAAATTTAATTTACACCCATTTCTATATTGTGAACCTTTAATATTTTGTTTCTTTCTATATGCTGTTCCTTTGTCATGGAATTCCCTGCTGTCCTATTTTTCTTATTCAAATTTTCACCCTTCAGAGGCCTAATTCTTTCTGTTGTCTCATTTAGCACTCCAATAATAATTAATCCTTCCACATTCCCAACAGCACACTCTGTACGTCTGCTCAGAATCTGCTGGGCATGGTAGTATGCACCTATAGTTCCAGCTACACAAGAGGTTGAAGCAGGACAATCATCTGAGTCCATGAGTTTGGACCAGCCTGGTCAACATGGCAAGACCTAATCTCAAAAACAAACAAAACAACAAAACTAATCTTAAGGACAGAAATCAGCCTAAAGTGTTACTCTAAACTACAGCTGGAAAAAAAGCATTCTCTGTGATCCCTGTAAACTGTCTTACCTATCTTTAATACCCTAGTTTAGAGGAGTTGAAGACTTATAAATTCCTAAAAATGTTTGTGAATTTTATGTGTCAACACAAAAGACTGGCTCAAGAACTTAAAAGACTTAGCCACAATTCACAGAACATGAAAAGCTAATCAATATATTATATTTTAATTCTAAGAGTCACCTTCAAAAACAGATTACAAACTATACCAGTTCACTCAAAAGTCACTACTCAGATTTAAATTATATAAAATGCTAGGTCATTCCCCTAAGGAAAAGACATTATATACATGGTTTCTAATTTCTGAAATTATATACAGCATAAAGAAAACTTATATAAGTGTTACAATTCAACAATGAGGCATTTTGTTTTTGTCTGAGACTGATCTTACTATATAGGTTGGTCTTGAACCCACAAGCTGCTGACTCAGCTTCCTGTTAGAATTACAAGCATGCATTACCACATCCAGTTCAGAGAGTTTTGATTTAAAAAAAAAACAAAAAACCCCTCAGTGTGTATTTTAGCCTAAAACTAAGGAAATTTTTTTTTAAAAAATCTTTTTGAGACAGGGTATTCCTGTAGCCACAGCTGGCCTAAAATTCACTATACAGACCAGGCTGGCCTCAATCTCAGAGATCTTCCTGCCTCTGCCTTTACCTCCCAAGTGCTGGGATTAAAGGCGTGTGCCACACCACCTGACTAGGAAATAACTCTTGACAAAAATCTGTTCCACTGGTTTTCTCATTGAAAAAAGTACTAGAATATTTAGAAGCCTGCATCAAAAGGTATCACATAACCTCATTTATGAATATATCTACATGTTAATACTCTCCTGAATAATATCCTAAAATATTTACTTCTACTGTTTCTATTCTCTTCTATAAGAACTGGCAAAACCCAGAGATGAATCTTAGAGTGCAATTACATGATCTAACTGGCAAAGGCCTGTAATTGCAGTACTTGGAAATCAGAAACAAGAGTATCACTGCAAGAGTATCATGGCCAGTCTCCTTTACATAGCAAGGTCCAAGCCACCTAGGGCAATGAAACCCTGTCTTAAAAAAGAAAAAGAAAGCCGGGCGTGGTGGCGCATGCCTTTAATCCCAGTGCTTGGGAGGCTAGGACAGCTAGGGCTATAGGGAGACCCTGTCTCAAAAGGACCAAAAAAAAGAAAGAAAGTAAAAGAAGGGATGGAGAGATAGCTCAGCAGTTAAGAGCACTGGCTGCTCTTGCAAAAGACCTGGGCTCTAATCCCAGCACCCAGATGGCAGTTGCAGGGGATCTGATGCCCTCTCCTGGCCTCTGCAGGCATGCTATGACATGGCCACACTTACATATATACAGGCATAACACTTAAAACACATAAAAATAATTTTTTAAAATTTTATTGAATGTGTATATTTAATACACAACACCTCAAACAATCTTAATCATCTTTATACCCCCATCCCCACTGGCACCCTCCCATAGGCCCCCACCCCAACTGGAGCCCATATACTTGGTCATCCCTGTTAAGGCCCACTGGCTTTTCAGTGTGCCCAACCATTCCCCAGTTCAAGTCTGTCCACTAAGTCTAGTCAGCCTATCTAGAGTCCTTTGTTTTAAGATCAGCTCTTCTTCATCTAGCAGCTATCAGCTGCCAACATTCCATCAGAAAAGACTGAGAGGTCTGCTGTTCATTTTCCCATTTCTATGCTGGCTTATTGTCTGCCTAAGTTTGCATGGGACTACTGTATGCTCACATCACTGCCATAGAATCGTATGAGCAGGTTCCCAGGAACTTGTAGGACTCTGTTTCCTATAAGCACATCCTTCCTAGCTCTTACAATCTTTCCACCCCCTCTTCCACAATGGAGCCTTGGGTGGGAGAAGTTTAATAAATGGATCCTGTCCAAGGACCAGCATTCAGCAGACTCTTGATCTCTACACTTCAGCTATTTGAAACCTTTTGTATTCCTGGCCCTCCACTTCGTGAGGAAGCTTCATTATTGAGAACTGAGAGATTCATTAGTGTCCTCTTCATTATACCTGTTCTGTGTTCCATGAGCCTTAGGTGTAGAGGTTGCATTGTAGATGTGTCACTTAGGCCTGGGCAATTCATAGACAATTTCTGTGTGTGACCAGTTGTGGTACTTGATAATAGTTTCTGACTGGTGCAAAAATGAGGTTCTTTGATGAGTTGTGACTAGGATATCTGTCATGTCTTGAAGCTGGTGTTGGATCATCTATTGATGTTTTCCCTTGGTATCTGTATAGTGTTCTCCAAAGCTATGAGAGATAGACTTCTGGGGAAGTGGTTGCAGCTCAGCTGCAACTCTATTGCTCCAAATTCTGTGTCTGAAGTATGCTCTGTCTTTGACAATAGAGTCTTATCTTCAAGTTCTGGGAGGTCATTAAGGGCTGTGGCAATAGCCTAATTTTGGGAGTCTCTTGGACCACCCTGGCCAACAACTTAAAGGAAGGCATCTCCTGTCTGGCACTGTTTCTTGATATGTAGCTGTTAGCTATACACATGGACTCATGTAGAGATAATGTATGTATAATTTGTCAGTAGGTTGTTGGACTAATATGGTTCCCTCTGGTTTTTTAAAACTAGCTAGTTTCTTTCCCCCTCTCCCTCCCCCAGCCCCACCTACCTCCCTCCCTCTCTCTCATGCGCGTGCACCATGATTTCCCCCATTTAAAGTGCCCCCGTTTTAAAAATTTTTTTAAATTTTTGAAAAACCTATTTTCCAGGTACAAAGCTGGTTGAGCTTGTAAAAAAAAATTTTAAAAATAAAAAGAAAAAAAGAAGAAAAATCAATGGCATGGTCCAAATCAACAATACTATCTTAACTATGTAGGTTTCAAAAATAAAATGTACATTAACATTTAAAAAATAACTTAAGTCAATTATTATCAAGAATATATTAAAATATAAAATTCAATTTGTGTTTGTTGTATCCAAATAAGAAATTAGGTTTTCTAAATGTTAAATACCTGAAAAATGATAAAAATAACTGAAAATGTCAATAAACGTTTTCAAAAATCAAATTTAAGGTTAAGTGCTATGTATTTTTAAAATTACCAAACAGAGGTTATGTGATAAGTTTTGATGCAGACTTCTAAATTGACTAACACTTTTTTCAATGAGAAAACAACCAGTAGAACAGAGTTTTTCCAAGAATTATATATAGTTGCACAAGCCTGAAATACCAGCAAGTTGGGAGGCTGAGAAAGAAGTTGTTCAACACCAGTCTATATTATACATAGAGAGTTTAAGGCCAGCCTGGACTATATAGATAGTTTAAGAATATCCTGGGCATGCTCCTCATGCCCCCTGCCTGCCTCTCCCAATCCCACCCCCCGGCATTAAACAAAAATGAACTTAACTCTATCAACAAAATCTACCCTCCTACCATCCACTGAGTTATAATAGACAGCTTTATACCTAACAGCCAATGAAAGCCTCTATGCCTTCATTCAACAGTTCATGAGTTTAAGGAAAGATAATGTTTACCTCTGTTGCCCAAATTCCTCCCAGAGGGGAAGCCACTTCTCATGAAATGATCTCTTCCAGAAGGTCCATCTTTCATTTCTAAAGCAAATAACATTTTGAAACAAGTCAAACAAAACTAAGTATACAAATATAAATCCTTTTCAATGTACCTTATACAGGAAAGGATGAATTTTATTCATCAATAAGAAAAAAGATCTGAGCTTGGTAGCACAGGTCTGTTAATCCTAGCTACTTGAGAAGCTGAGGTAGGAAGATGGCCAGTTCATAGTCAGCCTGAGCTATAGCTAAGCTCAAAGCTAGCATTAGCAACTTAGTGAGACCCTGTCTCAAAATTAAACTAAATTTAAAAAGTAAAAAAAGGGCTAGAGATATAATTCAATGGTAGAATGCTAATTTAGCATGTGTGAGGTCCTGTATTCAATCCCCAACACAAAAAGAAAGATGACAAGAGAGCCTAGTTGAAAATGAGTTAAGAATATGAACAAGTAGCTCTTCAAAAGAAACACAGAAACTAATCTCACAACTAAAGAACTTTAAATTTAAAAAAAAAGCAGAGAGCAATTTTCAGTCACTTTCTTAACTAGAAAACAATTTTAAATTCTCTAATATCCGGAACAGACAAGGACATTGGTGAAACCAGCACAAAATACATTCTATTTAAAATATAAATTGGATTAATCTTGATCCTACTTGTCTTTTTACAAGTACATTAATATGAATTTCCCCCTTGAATATATTCACATTATTATAAAGCTACAGATAAAGATGTTTTTATAAATACTGTCAGTAATCACAAAAAAACTAGCCAAGTTTGTAGAACTGACTTTGTTCAACATACACAGTGATTATAGTCTGACCATGTAAGGTCACAAGTTCAGCATATTTTTAAGACTATTATAGACTCAAAACTCTATAATCAATGGAATCAAAATAGAAGTTAATAAATAGGAAAAATCGGTCTAAAAGTCCCTCATATTTGGAAATATGTTTTGGGGGGCAGGGCAGTACAGGGGCCAAGGTATGTACATGCTTAGCAAACACTCTGCCACTGTACTACATCATCAACTGAGAATTATTTTTATAATAAACCTATGTAATGCACAACTCAAAGGAAAAAAAGAAACCACAGTTGAAGCTTAAAATACTTAGAACTAGGATTTAAAACATCACCTATCAGTATGTGAATTTGTATAACAGAAAATAAGAACACAAAAGTTAAAAAGTTAACTAGCAAGAGTATTAGGGAAAAAAAAGTCAAACCACAAGAAAGAAAACTATCTGCACTGAACATGTAGAAACTTTTTCCTTCTCACTATCCCTTGAACAATATAGGACAACCATATACATAGCACACAAGTTATGTTAGGTATTATAAGTAATCTACAGATGAGTTTACATACACAGAGGGTATATACAAATACTGTGATTTTGTATCTTGAACATTCTCAAATTTTGAGGGATTCTGGAGTTAATTTTCTAGAAACACATAGCAAACAAAAGAGATGTTCATAACAATTTGTGACACCAAGTTTAGGAAATTTTTTGGTCTTTTTGAGACAGTGTCTCCCCGTAGCCCCAGCTAGCTTGGAACTCACTATGTAGACTGCCTCCTGAGTGCTGGGATTAAAGGTGTGTGCCACCACTCCCAGCTCCTAAGATGAGGAATTTTTAATAGAATAAAAATGTGGTATATTCACACAACAGAGTGATTATAAATCTTACAGCAACATGGATCAATCTTAGAAATTGTATTGAATAAAAAAAACTCAAATTGTGTAAAACTACACACATACACACAACACAACCATCATTATCTCTATAAAACCAGTGAAAATTAAATATTTTACTTGGACATATGAATACAGGCAATGAAACTGTACTCGGTGTCACATCTGCACTCAAATCTCTACAACTAAGGCTCATGGAACACAGCAGAATAAGGAGTAGAGAACGGGCTAATGCACCCCTCAGCTCTCACCAGTGAGGCTTCCATGTACATCAGAGTGTGATGCACAGAGAAGGCCACAACTGGACAAGTTTTAGGGAACAAGAGACTGTAGAGAATAGGATGGGATTCCTAAGAACCTTACCCACCCATGGCTCAGGGACCACTGCAGAAGAGGCGGCAGAAAGACTGTAAGAGTCAGGGTTGGTTCATGAACACAGGTAGGTAGAGGCCTCCAGGCTACTGGAGGCTCACTCATGTTAGCCTGTGGCAGTGGTGGCGTCAAGCATGGGACCCATGTCAGTTCAATTAAATGAGGTCCCAAAGGGAAGGTGAGAAATAGGCGGCAGGCTAGCACTAGATTGAGAACTATTTGAAACTGACTGCTGCTGGGGTGAGGGAGAGTATGACTAACATACGACCACTGTACGGGCTGACTAGACCCCAGTGGACGCATTTACACTGAAGGATATTTGGGTATAAATACCTGAATGACTCGGATTCAGCATGTATGGCTGAGTGCATAGGGTTTGGTCAGGGGATAGGGGAGTCATGAATCAAGGAGGGGTTCTGGATTTGAGTGGGAAATGTATGAATTTTAAAAAACTCAATTTAATTTTTCAAAAAGTGGGGAAAAAATGAAAGGGAAAGATTCAGGTACTTTGGCACACATCTGTATTCCAGCGACTTTAGAAGCTGAGGCTGGAGGAACACCTGAGCATCGAGACCAACCTGGGCTATATAGAAAGACCTTGTCTCAAAAAAAATGAAAAGAGGACTGCCGAGATGGCTCAATGGGTAAGGGCACTTGATGCTAAGCCTGACAAAGCCTGAGTTTGAGCCCAAGGCACTACTACATAGTGGAAAGAGCACAGACTCCCACAAACTGTCCTTTAACCTCCACATATATTCTATAGCATGTACATCCCCTCCACTCCCCCACCCCTCCCAACCACACATTGATTAAAAGTTTTAAAAATAGGGGCTGGAGATATAGCTCAGCAGTCAAGAACACTGATTGTTCTTGCAGAAGACCCAGGTTTGAATTCCAGCACCCACATGGCAGCTAACAACTGTCCATAACTCCAGTTCCAGGGGATCCAATGGCCTCTTCTGTCCTCCACGGGCACTGTATGACATGGGTGCACTTACCTACATGCAGGCAATACACTCATATACATAAAATTAAAAAATAAGACATTAAAAAGTTTAAAAAATAAACAGGATGGGGGTTGACAGAATGGTATATGAATACATAAGCTATGTAACAGTATTGTCAATGATCTCAAAATAGCTAAGTTCAAAACATACTTTATAGCTCCACAATTGAAATTTTCACACAGTAGCAAATTAGTTCCTTGTACTGTTGCTGTGACAAAATACCTGACAAAATCAACTTAAGAAGGGTCTATTTTTGCTAACAGAGAATACAGTCCATCATGGCAGGGTAGTCATGGCAGTGTCAAGGAACATCCAGTAGCTGGTCACACTGCATCTGCAGTTGGGAAGCAGAGTACAATGAATGCACATGCTCTGCTAGATTTCTCTTTATTCATTCCAGAACTCCAGCCCATAAAATGGTGCTGCCCACAATGGGCAGATTTTCTCACCGCAACTAACCTAAACTAGATAATCCCTCAAAGTTATGGCCAGAGGCTTGTCTCCTCAGTGACCCTACATCCCATCAAGTTCATCACTGAAATTAATCATCCCAAGTAAATATTTCTTTTCATAAAAAGGTATTCAGGGGCTGGAGAGTTGGCTCAGAAGAGCACTGGTTGCTCTTGCAGAGGACCTGGGTTCACTTCCCAGCACCCACATGGCAGCTGTCAACTAACTCCAGTTCAAAGGGAAACCAATGTCCTCTTCTGACCTCTGAAGGCACTGCATGATATGGGTGCACTTGCATATGTGCAGGCAATACACTCATACACATAAAATAAAAATAAAGTGCTTTTAAAAAGGTATTCAATAATGATTCTACAATAAAGTCACAAGATATTAGTCTCTGGATTCTTGTCACTCCTTGCCACATTAAGTGAAGATTTTCAAAAATAAAAATGCTAAATTTTATGTATGCCACACATCCCTCTTGCACATATTCTTCCTCTTGGTACATTCTAGCAGGACATTTCTACCAATGTCCTTACAGTAAAGCCAGACATTTGTACCAAGGAACTGCTAAGTTTAAGGCAAGAATTCAAATGCTTTTGGACCACAGAAAGTTCAGAGCCACTTCAAGAGGATCTATGTATCCAAAAGGTACCTGCTCCAACATCCAGTATCATTAAGGAGTAACCTAGCTTTTAGCAAAATGAGAAAGAGATTGCATTTCAAGGACAAGAACTGAGTCACAAAAATTACCAATTCTCCAAACTTTTCTGATTTTGAATGGGCTTTTTACGGGTTTGTTTTGTTTTGAGAAAGGGTCTCATGTAGCCCAGGCTGATCTCAAACTCACTAAGTAACTTAAACTCCTGATCTTCCTGTCTTGATGCCCCAGTGCTGGGATTACAGATGTGTGCCACGATCCTCAGTTTTCTTTTCTCTTTGCCTGGCTTTCCCCCAGATATACAAATGAGACTTAGCCACATCTTACCTGGCTCAAAATTTAAAACTATGTTATGTAACACAGATGTCAACAGTTACATGCAGCTATTTAAATTTAAAATTCATTAAAAATTTAGTACTCAATTGTACTAGCCATATTTCAAATACTCAACACCTAAAAACAGCTTGTGGCTATCATAGCAAACTGTACGGCTAGAAAATATTTCCATCACCTGGTATAACAGTTTCTAGATTCATCCATTTGCCTGCAAATTATTTCATCTTTCTTTTACTGCTGAGTAGAACTCCACTGTGTAAATGTACCACATTTTCATGAACCACTCATCAATTGCGGGGCACTTAAATTGTTTCCATCTCTTAGCTGTTGTGAAAAAAAGCAGCAACAAACATGGCTGTACAAGTATCTCTGCAATAGGATAAGTCCTTTGGGTATATGCCAAGGAGTGGTATAACCAGGTCATATGGTAGGTTCATTTTTAGTTTATGAGTTCTCCATGCTGATTTCCATAGGGGTTGCATGAGTTTGCACTCTCGCCAGCATTTGGTATCATTTGTTCTCTTG